CTTCTATTAAAAATTAGATGAATAATGCATTTACTCTAATGTCTAGTCAAAAAGTTACAAAAAACTGTAACTTGAAAAATTTTATTTTAGCAGCAAAAAATGACTGTTTATATAAATGTTTATGCGGAACACAGAATTGCTTATGATTATTTTATTTTACACGGTAACTTTTTTTCTAATAAGAATGTTTGAATTTTTGAACTTTCTTACAAAAAACTTTGTTGATTTATCAGTCAGATACTCTGATAGATACAGTTTTTGACGAGGAAAATGAAACAAGATAGAAGAAAGACAAAAAACTGAGAAGGAATAAAAAAAGTCATTTCAGCAAGAATAACATAATTAGTGTTTATCTGAAAGGAAACTTTTTGGAATTTGCTGAGAGGTAGAGAGAGAAAAAAGGGTAGAAAAGTAAACATCTGACGGAAATTTTGACTTAACCTTATAAAATTTAAATGATGTATTGCTGCATCATACGATGTACTGGCAATTACTCAAATAATAAACTCAATAAACTATCTTCCTCAGTAGCTTTCTAAATGCTGTTTCTAAATTGTGCTCTCATCTGCTGACAACCCACTGATTTGAGTATTACAACTGTAGGCATATTTAGTGAATCTGATTGTTGGACGACCTATTTTAATCGAACTATTCAACTGTGAAGATGACTGTCATATGCGTTATTTTAGTCTACATCTTTATTCTCTTCTATTAAGTTTTTATTCATTGGCATTTTTTATTCTTCTTTCTTTTGAGGTTACAGTTGAATTACAATTAGAGTAATGATAAAATATGTAAATTATTTTGTTTAGAAAATTTTCCTTTGCACCGGCATGTCGAGGAATTATGTTAAAAAGGAGTAACGAACAACTTGTCAACTTAATGAATTCGGGCAAGCTTCAAGACGGTTCAAGCGAGGTATTCTATCTCTTTTTTCGTTGTTTTTCTTCCGTCGTCGCTTAATTAGCAATAAAACAGAACCATAGCTGCCAATAACACTGTCTTTCTCACTTTTTAAAATAAATAAAAAAAAACTGGTTACCTCGATCACACCGGAATAAAATTTGCTGTTTTTTTTTCAATTCCTCATTCAAAAAATTTTTAAAAGTTGTGCAAAAAGAATTGTGAAAGTGAAAAAAGAAAGTGTTAATTAAAGTTGACATGTGGTATAGCATTGCTTAGGCCTACTAAAAAAAATTCAAAATTCAACTTTTTATTCCGCTCCCTCTTTCCTCTCGTCATCCACTATCCCGCCTTGACTTTTGATCTGCAAAAAATAACACAGTTTTTTTGGTACATCGAAGGAACAGATGTAGACGAAACAAATAACAGTGAAGAAATATGCAGTAAAAGAATATGTAACTTTTAATGTAGCAAGGAGAAAAAAGTCTTTTGTTGTAAATTTTTGATATTAATTTTTTCTTTTTAATTTTTCCAGTTTTTATTTATTCATAAGCTCTTGCTTGAAAGTCAAGATCTGTTCAACGCATAGACGATGGCAAATAACATAACATATAACAAAAAAAGCAAACAGAACCTGAAAACTGACAATACTGAAAAGCAAAATTTTAACATTTTTCTGCAAATTTTTTTTCCTTTCCCTTACAATTTCTTTATTCCAATAATTATAATTTTTATTTTACTCCAACAAAGTTTATTGATCACACTTCTACTGACTGTACCTAAAAAATGGTTGAGACAGATTATTTCTTGGGCAGCCTTTTGCTGGCGAAAAAAAGCAAGCCAGTCTAGTCCAAAGATGTACTAACCGTCAAGTAACAGTTTAAGACCTAGCCAAAATAACCAAAATATCGTTTCTTTTGAAACCCTTCTTGAAATGTTTAAGGTACCGTGATTATATTAACTGAAAGTTGTTTCAAGAGTCACCAATTTGATTCAGAGAACACTAATACTCGATGATATTTTTGGCTTTTTTAAGTGTAAGCTTGATAAAATCTGTTTCAAATCATAAATTGCGCTAGAAAAAGTAAAAAGACTGTTAATGTAACACTTTACATACCGTAAAACATTTTTAATAGACAACAAATTGAGTTTGGCGACGCAAACTTTAGCAAAATTAAAGCTTTATTCTTAAAATTCTTTTCATACGTCTGTTCAGATGTATTACTCCCAAACGAAAACATTCCTGAATGTTGTTCAATTTAATCAGAATCTCTTTGTCTATCGCATTATCGTAAGATATTCGACAATAGACAAGACGCAAAATTTTGTGAAGAAAAGTTAGAAAGCTGGATTTCCTGGAGTAACTGGTCCTAAAAGTGTAATTTACAATGCACGACGTCTTGCCAATTAACATGAAAATGTTAAGTAAAAAAACTGTCACCAATTAAAATTCCCATATCACGAATAACTCAAACGTTACCCAATAGATATCTGCCGATTTTATGGGTTTAACTCTTTATCCACATAACATAATTCTAATACTTGGCATTTAGAAAATCTAAACATATCTGCACACATTTAACACAGCTATAAACGTTTTCTAGGTTAACACCTAATAACATTCTTGCATCATGTCGTTCAGTGACATCTGTTATATAGTTTTCTGCTGATGAAATATAACCACGTACAAACAATTATTATCAAATTTTTAATGTTGATTAGAGTCTTTTACTGCATGCACAGTTTAGAACACTGCTGAATCACTAATCACTACTGAAACAGTTGTATGGTAAAAGCCGACTATACTGTAGCTCTGTACGAAACAACATAATTGGGATATCTTCACATAAAAAAATAAAAGTGATCATATATTGACAAAAACTGAGTAGACGCGATCTGTTTTTTTTTGTTTTTAAGTAGAAATTGAAGAAATTTTTTATTTTTCAAAAGAATTTATTTCAATAATTTTGCTGTCTACAGTAATTGTTTTTATTTATTAAGTGTTGTATTGACGTGCTGCCAAGAAAGAAATTGTCCTGTTTTTTTAACAGCAAAAATAATTTGTTTCTTTAATTCTTTGCCTATTTTTGCTAACTTCATTTATAAATACTTTATTGTTTTTTTCCTGATTCAGCTGTCATTTTTAGCAGTGATGATAAAGTAAATTTTTGTTTTGTTTTTTCACTTTTACGCACACTTTTAAGAGGCGAAAAATCAAGCTTTATTTCTCAATAAATTAAATATCCCTCTTGTTTCACTTTTTTCGTTTTTCGATGTAAAAGGGAAAATCCAGTAGAAATTGGCGTAGCTGAAAATGTCTAAAGCAATATCAGTATCTTTGATTTGGAAAATAATTGATGGAAATTGGGTAGATATTTGATAGAAAGGAAAAATCAGAGATCAAATATTAACCGGCAAACTGCATTAAACTTAAATATTGAATTCTTTAAAACAGTTTGAGAGATGATTTTAGTTTACTCCAAGAGAAGGGTGTTTTGAAAATAAAGAAGAAATTACTGAGTAAGACAAAGATTGGTTTGAAAAGAATAAAATGTAAAGGATTAGAAGAGCGAATACTGGAATAGAAAACATCAAACGGAAAAAAATTTACTCGTTATTTTTGGTTCAGCTAAAGTTAGTTGTTAGTTGAAGTGCAAACCTTTTTGTTAGCTTTGAGCGTTATAGTGCTGACCGCCTTTTCAATTTTCAATCTGAGTTATTGGCTTTGTTCTTTTTTCTAGCCTTTTTTTTGACTCATCTTTAGTTAGTTATGTTTTTCTTGAACTTTAATAATTAGCTACGATTTGCGGTAGTGCCTTGAGTTCGTTTAACTTTCAAGCCCTTTAGAGTTTATTCTGTTGCCGGACAGGTTGGAAAATTGCTCGTTGATCTTTTTCATGTTGGTTACGGTGATGATGTTGTTAGTGATGATTGCTGTCACTCATCCAAATCAAAACATTTTGATAGCAGTTTAGAATGGTATTTTGGAAGTGTGGGCGGATGGAGGGGGAGGAGATGTGCAAGCGATTAAGCAGTTGGAAAGTTAAGCAGTTAACTTATCACCTCGTATCTGTATTATTGCTGTTGCCTGATGGATACTTGACAATCGGTTTTTTAATGTTCTATTAAAATCAAATTTTTTTTTTCAGTGGTTAATCAAATATATGAGCAGTTTGTTGACGGATATGGAGGAACATGGTCTACAATGTGTATCGACACAGTGGCTACGGGCGGTGGTATCGCATTTGAAAGAAGCGGAGCAAGTTCGAAATGTCAACTATTTTTCGTAATTCCTGGGACGATCTTCCGCTCATCTGTTAACTACAACCAACTGTCAAAACGCTTTCTTTTATTTTCCATTCATATTTTATGACCATTTTTTTACTTTGCTTGATGCCTGTTACCGCTAATTTAACAACAACGCCACTACCAATAGCAGCAGCAGCAACAGCAGTAAGAAAAGTAAGGTGGAAAAGTGTGATTGAGTGTTAATAAAATGAAAAAAGAAAGTTGCACGTGAAAGAAAGGCGCATTTTCTTCTGTGTTTGTTCGCTTTACTTAGTATAAAGTTGCAAACACGAGAAATTTCTAATTCACAGAGCAAAAATAAAAGTTCAAATTTTTTAAATTAAAACTATAAAAATGGTGAACAAGATTTGTTTGAAAAAGTTTGTATCTGCAAAACTCAGTAATCAAAAAAAAGGAAGTTAAGGAAGGGAATAGGGAAGAAGCTGGAGAGGCAACGGAGTAAACAAAGGCTACACCTAAAGAAGCGGCAAAATATTTGATACACTCAATAAAAGAATTATAGCATTCTATTACAATTTCACGACTTTATAATAATATGAAAAAAGGAGATAAAATAATAGCGACACCACAAAAAGCCACCTTATTCAACAGGATTTCCTGATAAACATCGCATTTTCAAGTTTCTTTTTTTGATGATGATAGGAGGAGGACGGTAGGTATGCGCAAAAAATCAAAAACTTTTGGTTGGGTTTTTTTGCTAAATTATCGTTGCTGTTCTCTGTCATCAGGATCATGAACATCATGAACTAAACAAAAGTTCCTCTTTCGCTTTTTTTTTTTTGTCAACGATTCAGAAGAGCGGAAATTGTGCAGTAACAATATTAGCAAAAAGTGTGCACAAAACAGCTGCATTTCAGCGACTATAATACAGTTAAGGAAAACAGAATTTAAAACTGCAGACTAGGACTTGAGGAAGGAAAAAAGTTCTTGTAGGAAATAAATTTTGTACTGTTTATCGGTTGCTAAAAGAAATTTCATCTGTTTGTTGTCGACACCATTTTTCACAAATTTCTTTTAAGGACGACGAGAATAAAAAAGTCAAAAAAATTTTTTGAGAAGAGTGAGGGACTTATTGAAACAGATATGCACAAAGAGTAATGAAATAAAAAATAATTTTTTTCGAAACAGTTTATAAGCAGCTACTGCCAGTTACAACTAAAATAAACGACGGAAAAATTGAGTGCAAAAAGCAACAGTATAAAAAAGAAAACTAAGAGTTGCTAAAAGATGAACAGATAAAAGAAGGCAAAAAAAAGTCTTACTTTTTAGTCTTACTTTTCTTTTTCTATCTTTTCTGTCCATCTTCCCCTATCTCGCTTCCTTCCTCTTCGTCCTCTCATACCACCCCGTTTGTCTCTGCACTCCACAACTTTAACGTCTTAAAAAACGTCATTTTTATTCATGGTACGTCAAAATTGTGACATACATACGTAAAATTCATATATCTACAATATATGATAAGTTCATGGTAGAAAAGAACAGTAAGTTTCAAAAAGATTAATGAAGATAGAAGCAAACCTTAAAAAAAAAAAGAAATTTAACAACAATTTTACTGTATAAAACATTAAATTTAATTGCTGATTCAGTAAGTAACAAAGTGAAAAGAAGAAGACATTTAAGTTCAGTTAAAGGCACTTAAAAGAACTGAAATTTTTCAAAGACTGATAGGTGAACAAAACTGTATAACGATAAATCAGATGACTGAATCAATAATGGTGTGACAGCCAACAGTCATCAATAGTAATGGCAATAATAATAAAGGTATAAATAGAAATATTTGTAGCAATATTATTAGTAATAAAACAATGAAACAGTAGTAACAGTTAACAGTTAAACACTTTTGCAAATGGCAGTTTAACAACAATACCGGCTAACAACAATGTGGAAATTAAAAATATGCTTGTCGGTGATGATCAGTCCCAACATATTTCAGTGAATTTTAATTGATAGCACAATTTAAAAAGAAAAACAAATAGAAAAAATAAACAATATTTTGCAATTAAATTGATACGCAGATGGGGGGGGGGGGGAAAAAGTAGAA